CATTAATATCTTTTAAAAACTTAATAAGTTAAAGAGTGTTTCAAGTATTTTATATTTTTATAAACTCATAAATTTGTTGAATGGATGTTATACTAAAAACCATTTTCAAACATGTAAAAACAATTTTTTTTTATACACATACTGATGTTATTATTTTTATTAACATTCAAAAACAAAAACAAAGCTCAAAGGACGATGGTCATAGTACAACAAGTGGCACGACTTAAGTCAAGGCCATCATTTAAAGCGATAATTTCCTCACTAATTTTCTTTGTCAACTCTGATCCCCTGACCACCGTTTGGAGTTTGAACACCTCAACTCTCCCTAACTCCACTCAATACTAACTTAAGCTTCGGAAAGATTAAGTCGGGAAATCCTCATCCCGACCTTGGCCTGTGTGTAGGAGCTCGACGACGAAGAAGTAGGTCACTCGCTTAAAGAGAAGACTGCACTCGGGAGATGAGGCTCATATTCAACCCGACCTGATGCTCGCTTCCTTCACCTGGGTATCCGTATGGACAACCTTGCATATTCGAGATTTGACCGATCTATATTGACACATCGATCATTGCATAAAGGTTCATTAATACTTTTAATTTATTATTATTATTATTATTATTGACCATTTATATTTTTAGTTTAGTGTTCCTACATTCCAAACTTGTGAGGACTCGAAAGGAACAAATTTATTACAGCATTTATGATTGGTCTTTCTCTTTCTTTTAGTTTCAAAAGGTACGAACCCTACGTAATAATATCTTATAAATGGCCTCTGTTCATCACAGTTTCATGTACAGCAAAATTCCTAATTGGTACAGCAATTAGGAATTTTTGAGACTCACTGTTCATCACAGTTTCACGTAATAATAATATCTTATAAATGGCCTCTGTTCATCACAGTTGTTGTAACCTCTGTTTTTCATGCCCCCATCATATATTAAATTCCTAATCGGTACAGCAAAATTTCCTCAGTCTCGCCACTTCTCTGGAAATGAAAATTTTGAGACTGGTTTAGCAGTATCGTGACATTGTTTGCTCATATTCATTGCATCCCAAGTACTTAATCAATCGATGTTTCTTGATATCTTCTCTTGCATGCGTGTCTGCTTAGAAAATAAGGACATTTATTTTTTTCATGCCTTTCATGGTTTTTAGTTAGCTTGAAATTTTGACTTGGCTAAAACATTCTGATCTTTGTAGTCTTTGCTACTATTAGATTATATGATTTGCTACTCTCTATCGAAATATGCAAAGTCAAACTTTATTTTACTGATTTGATTTGCACCATCACAATCATACCTTCGTGAGTCCTGACATCTTAGCAAGAGGATCAGGGACGCTCCCTTACCATAAAACTATTAGATTATATGATCTTTTTAATTATATAAAATATATTATAGATATGATTAGATTCTAATTATAGTTATTAGTCAATAGAAAAGAAGTTTATATTATAATAGAATTTCTTAGGGGATACCCTTGATGGGAGGAACTCTCCTAATAATGTATCCTAGACACTCTGCTAGATTAAGATTTACGTTGAGAGATTAAAATTTTTCTCTTAATCCTGATCCATTAATCTAAGTGGTCATATGAAAATATAGGAAGAGAAAAGAAGATCTAGTTTTCTTTGCATATTGATATTTTAGATCCGACGATGGTACGCCTATAGATTAGGTAAGGTTTGTTCTTCTAAACAACAACGAAATTAGATATTATTAGATCTAATTTTATTTTATTTCAATTTTAAGATAAAAAATTATTTTTATATTACAGATAACATGATTATAGATATTTTATGCTAACAAAAATAACTCTAGATGGTGTCGGAATGCTAACAAACCCTGCCTTACGGTGGTCCCATCAGCTCCTCAGCCCCAACACCACGATTATTTCGACAAGCGGAAGCATAATACGGCATCAGGATGAGTTTGGCTGTTCTTCGCCCGAGTACCACTCCCATGCCACGTCGAATGTTCAAGGTGGAAGGAGTACTGCGCAGAATGGCACCATGGGGGTGTGTCGGCACGGCAGTGTGCGCATTGTGGTTCATTGTTTGACACTTGCCGAACTGTGTCCTCCTAAGAGACACTGAAAAAGGCTTTTGCATCATTTAGTTGTGGATGTGTATGGTTAAAGATTCTGACACTGCCTCACCTTCAACCCTTGGACGTTCTGAAATTGCACCTGCTTCTTGCGATCTTCCTTTTTGTTTTGGTTGGATGGATGGATGGTTGGACGGATTACTTGTTTGATTCACGGAAACAATGGAAGCTATGGATGAATATACTGGATGCTCTTTTGAGATATTTAATTCTCAGCTTCTTTCTCGTTAGCAGATCTTGTGATGATCTCCCATTTGCCTTTGGTAGTAGCCGAATTTGCTGCTGCTGCTGCTGCAATTTGGAACCAAGACAAGGAAAGTTTCGATGCTCACACATCAATCAGCTACATGGTTTTATTACTCTGTTTCACAACTTGCTTTGCAGAACACATGCGTATAGTAGATGGAAGGGAGTGAGAATCATAAGATCAGGAGAATTTTTCTTTGTTCTTTTCTTCGAGGGCCACTCAGCATGATGCCAAATGGTGGGGGGAAGAGGAAGGAAGTAAGCAACCACAAGGAGGAGGAGGAGGAGGTGTAGTGGCCAAAATGTTACTTTCACTTAGAGCAAATGGTGGTAGCTGGGGTGAAGTAATTTGATTTAATGAAGCACTTTCCAGGTCACAAACTCATCATTATGTACTTATGCTGGGCTGATGATTTCTGAGTCCTTTTTCTTCCCCTCTTTGTGTTGCTTTGACATGAGTAGAAGAACAATTATGCCTTCTTCTTAAGCTGATGGCTGTCGACTTCTCAAGATAATGCAATCCAACTTCCACAGTCATCATCATGTCTTTAGAACAATAATGTCTTCTTCTCTGTGTCATTTTATAATCCTTTCAAGACAACACCTGATATGAAATTCTCATGATAGAATATTGCAGACCTCTGATCACAACTGACATCATATTTTACCTTTGTTAGGCACATTAAATGGGAGGAAGCCTGGGAGAGTGGAATCATCCTTTTTAATGTTTCAGGCTCACTATCACTCATTGGACATGTGAAAAGAGCCACTCTCACAATCCTTTTTTTGTCTTTTGACTTGTCTCAGAGGACATCACAATTTCTTTTAGGATGATCTTAGCTTTCAGATCACACTCCCGAGTGGTCGTCCGTCGGAGGATCTGTTCTTACTTCACTTCATGTCTTGAGAAGATCATTAAAATTCTAACATGCAAACAAAAGACAAAAAAAACATCATCTTCTTACAGATGTGTCAGTGTTGTGGGTTCAATAATTGATACAGAGGTCAATATCTTAGGCATCTTAAAATTTGCTTCAGTATCAGTAGAATGGACCCAAAATGTTTGAGTTAAGATTGTAGATGCTCATAAATAGGGGCATTGTTTATTAACACTTTTGCAGGCACCAGTTGATGAGGGTATTAAACCCAAAGGCTAGGATGAGGGGGCACCAACATAGCCAGCCCCCACTATGCAAGCAAGAATAGAAGCATCAAAGCAAGCTTTCACGTATAAAGAGGTTGCTGTTGGAGCATTAACCTTGATTTCTAGGTCGTGTTTTTTATATGCCATGCCATTTTAGATGTGTAAAATAATACATATTAAATGTGATAAAATAAATTAACTTGATATGTAAATTTAAATATATATTATATAAATTCAAACTTTAAGTTTTCCTCGCCTCCACCCTTATTCTTTATTTAGATGGGACGAAGATATGGATGGAGACTCATATGTTTTTTTTCTATCATCCTTAATTATTTTTATTTAATAAAAAATTATTAAAATCTAATTAATAATATTAAATTTTATAATATATATATATATTCAAATATAAAAATATAATAATACTAAAATTTATGTATAAAAAAGATGAAGAGAACCAATAAGGATAAAGTTAAATAGTCATCACGATGAACGAGGAGATATTTTAATTGAACCAAATGATTCTTAATTAAATTATAATCAATTTAATTAAAATTTATTTAATATAATTTGAATAACGAAAGCTTAATATGTTTCGCCTAATATCTCTATCTACATATTAATAAGTCGAGTACGAATATAAATACATGTACATGAATAATATAAAATATCATCATCCCCATTTATTTTTTTCCATCCGGGATAAATTTATATGGATGCTTATATTTACAGGTATAATTGATGTTCTGAACAATATTTACATTGATTTTAATTAAAGGTTAATTGTTTCTGAACCGAATGATTACAAAATAAAAAACCCGATAAAACAAAATAATCTTCACATCTTCAAACTCAAGAACAAATTTCATTTAGATACAGAGAGGATAATTAGGAAATATTGGTTCAGACCAATATGATCGTCTGGACCAAGCGAACCCCATGTTTGCAGGCTTATTAGACGTATAAATTTATAATATTAACTCAATAAAAGATGTTAAAAAGCCACAGAGAGAGAGAGAGAGACACACACACACCGCTTATAGGATTCGGGCGGATAGGATCCGACCCGCTTCTACCCCGCGAACGGAAACTACGATCTACGAGCTAGCACTTAGTAGCCCTACGTGGGGTAACAGAGACACCCAATCGTCAGTAGGGTACCAAATCGAGTACCGTGAAGACGAGTACGAAGGCGGTTCCGTCAAATTTGGCATCCGCTTCCCGATTCTCTATTGAGTGCTCGTTTCCTTTGGAATTCGCACACTCGTCACACGTGTGGATACCACGTGCTGTTCACCCAGTGCCCTCTCGGGTCGCGTCAATCACCATCCGTAACCCATTGGGTCGTTTATCTCGATCCCCCCTCTCTCTCTATTTTCTTTCGCTCGCAGGCGCGTCGACGAAACCCTCGATCGATCCAACGATCCGCCAAGGAGGAGTAGTCCGGTTCGATCCTTCTCCTCTAGCTGTCTGAAGGTGGTTCCTCGATCTTTTCTCCCTCGATCGCTTCGATCCCCTCGTAGCTCGAAAGATTAAAGAAAGATTTCTGGCGATTGCGAGCTGACGGGGATTTTTCTTTTTTGGCGTCTTATAGGGTTTCTGGGACAGAATGGGTGGTAATTTCGGGTGGGATTGAGGGGATAATGGTCGGATTGGGAGCGCGGAGGCGCGATTGCATGGGTGAAGAATGCCAGAGCTGCGGAGCGGGGTGCGTCGACGGGGTCGTTCTCCACCAACGCCGGCACCGCCGGCGGTAGATCGCCCCTTGCGGAACACGAGGGCGCGTGCCGCCGCCGCCGCCGCCAAGAAGCCGGAGCCTGCAGGGGTTGCGGCCGGGGGTAGCCGGCGGGTGAGGACCAGGGCCGCGGCTCCGCGGCCGGCCTCGGCAAAGGGGAGGCAGAGGGTGAGATCGGCCAAGGGGAGGCAGATTTTGGTCGAGGAGGAGGAGGAGGGGAGAGAGTCGGATCGATTGAAGGACGTGGTGTTGGTGGAGGAAGAGAAAAGAGGAAAGGGTCTTGTAAGTCAAGCGGAGGAAGCAAGAGGGAAGGAGATGATGGGTGATGAAAGCGGCGGATTGAGCGCTAATAGGGCCGCGAGACAGGAGGAGGAGGGGAACACTAATCCCTTTCCCGAAAAGGTATTCTCTTGTCTGTTCATATACCTTTGCTTGCAATTGTTAGAGGAAGTTTTATTCTTTGCAGATCATGTTCTTATATGTAGCTGGATCTGAATTATACGTCATTAGTGCTAACTGTTATTTTTTTTTAACTCAGTTATATTTTCTCTTTTCTTTTGTTTTTAATTATTTATGCAACGACAAATGGAGCTTTTCTTCTTGCTTCAGAGATTTTGTCGTCATACTTGGCAAATTATCAAGTCTCATGAACTTTGCAGTGCTCTGTGAATCGTATATGCTAAAGCATCCTACTTTGTACTATTTGCATACTTTCATCTTCCAACTGGTCAGAACACCACTAGTTGATCTCTGTACTGAATTTTACTTTCTGGTGGAAATTTCATGGAATTGTTATGTTTCTTTCTTAATGTGATATATCAGCAAATCTTATGTATATTGTTTTGATCTATTTTATTTAGCCTATTCTACCTATGTGATATATGGGCAAATTGTATGCATATTATCTTTATCTCCTTAGCTTTGCATTTCTACCTATTATAGAATAAAACCAAAGTAGTAAAGCTTTATTTTATCGTTGCATTTTCTACCATAAAAAATGCTACTCTTTGCAATTTACAATCTGCTACATTATAATTATTTTTTTCTCTGGCCATATTAGTTGTTATTATTTAAGTTCTTGTTCTGAGGACCTGATGCATAATTTAGGCAAGTAGCAGGCTTACCATAATTAGATTTTTTTAATTTTTTTTTGGCAAAAACTTTTCCTAAGTTCTTCCTTGTTGATTAGTTCTTTGTCTTCTGAGTTTAAGCATTGTCAGCAGTTGATTTAATTGTTTCTACCTATTACTGTTTCCTTCTTTTTCTCTGACTTTCTACTATGGCATCATTGCTTCACTTATTAGTTCATCATGTGATGATTGTATGTATTGCATCTACACTACTCGTGATATTATGGCTTATTGCTGTTGTTGTATATTGCACTCTCTTCTTATGTCTACATAGATTCCCTTCTTGTCCTTCCGATGCGTGTTATTACCATATTCTCTTGTTATCTTATTGACGTTATATAATCTAGAGGTCAATAAGAACTTCATTTTCTGATTTGTCAACTGGAAAACTTAAGTCTATTGAATTAATTTTGAAGCCTGAACTGTAAGTGCATCTTATACAAGTTGTAAAGGACAATTTTTTCACAAATCCAAAAATTCTTCTATTTTGTTGTTCAATCTTCCTTGTACAATCTATCCTTGTGTGCATGTTATTTTAACCCTAATCCTAACATCATTGATGTCCAATAATTAAGGCATTGTCTATACAACCATCAGAGTATGTGCCTTGGTGTCATGGTAAACTTAACTTTTCGAGATCTAGGTGACCTAACCCTTGTAGGGTTAGGCTGTGTATATTGACTCTCCAGAGATCCCGAATTTGTGGGGGTCTTGTGCAATGGGCTGCATTTCCAAACCCCACCCCAACACCACCCCGCCCCCCCTCCCCATACAACCATTGCTTTTTGCAAGAATGACCATCATTAGATGAGGCCAAATTGTATCTGCTTTTCATTTATTCACTGCAGGATTTCTCTCTTTTCAATCTCATCTTCTGACAATTGTCATATGGACCAATCAATTTAACGAAGGGTCTTGCTTCTGGTTGTTTGTTTATATTAATGTTGTATGTGGTATATGCAGTTCTTAAATTATGTCAATTCTTCCTGAAAGCAACATCTACCTTGTGTTTAAGCATGTCTTGTCCGTTTTTGTTTTGTTAGACATATTTGGAGCTTGTGTGGATCTCTTAAGGTTTTCTCTTGTTTTTGTTCAGTATAATTTTTCAGTGGTTACCTTAGTGTGAGAATAAAAGATTGATCTTCATTCAAAATAATTTTAGGTCCAAGTTGGTGGTTCTCCTGTATATAAGGTTGAGAGGAAGCTGGGCAAGGGTGGGTTTGGTCAGGTGTTTGTTGGTCGACGAGTCTCTGGTGGCATTGATCGAGCAATGGGTCCTGGTGCATTGGAGGTATTATTTAATCTGCACACTTTTTTGTTTATCACAAAGTTGTAGGAGCGGAGGCATTTGTAAGAGGTTTATCATGTCTGGCTATTTTCTAGTTTTCTTTTTGAATAAGAGTGTTTCTGATATTACCTTTGTTAATAGGTTGCTATCAAATTCGAGCACAGGAACAGTAAAGGCTGTAATTATGGCCCTCCTTATGAATGGCAAGTTTACAGGTTCGTCTAGATATCATCTTTGAAAAAGCTTTTTTGATTCTGATGATCCTTTTATTCTGTAGTGGTAGCTCTGACTTATTGCTTTTGCTTTTATTTAGTGCTCTTGGTGGCAGTTATGGAGTGCCTAGGGTACACTATAAAGGTCGGCAAGGTGACTACTATGTGATGGTATGGTTTCTTCTTACGCACTCTTATGCATCCTTCCAATCAGATGGTTGGCTTGCAGCTACCTTTGTCACTTGCTTTATACATCTAGTCAGCATACAAACTTCCTCAGATCCTATGTTGACCTACTTGTTTCACTTACCTCTTTGTAACTTCAGGTAATGGACATGCTAGGTCCCAGCCTTTGGGATGCTTGGAATTCTTCAGGTCAAACGTGAGTATCCTGTCAAAGTTCATTTTTTAGCAAATGACATCCATAGTTGAGTATTCTTAGTTACCTATTTCTGTGGCACCTTTCAATTCATACTAGGTGTGATCTTATGCACACATGTATGTACACGACATTTAGTTAAAATAATGTTAGGTAAGACTGCTAAAGCTTCCCATAAGTATGGCCTTCAGTGGTTATGCTTTTTCTTATTTTGAAACGGGGCACTGAACCCTACTTACTATATAGGGTTATAAGGCTTCATAAGGTTATACTAGACCACAATTATGGTATAGGACCATCGAGCATATTCAAGCCTACAACTCTCAAAGGCAAATCATCTATAACATTGGAAGGGAAAATGTGCAACTTGTGCAAGAGGGACATGTTATCCCAGACCTCTTACTAGGGGAAAAATACTCATCATTCAAGACAAAAATTATGGCATTCATCATTATCTTTTGAAAGGCTGTTTTGAAATTTCTCAGGATGTCATCAGAAATGGTTGCTTGCATTGCTGTTGAGTCGATATCAATTCTTGAGAAGATGCATACAAAAGGGTAAGAATAAAGTCATCCACTCACCTGTATATGTTATCTTTCAAAGAGGTGTTCCTTTCACTCAGAGCTTTTCTGTGACTAACCAATTGAACAAAATTTACCAGATATGTCCATGGAGATGTAAAGCCAGAAAACTTCCTTCTTGGTCAGCCAGCAACACCTCAGGAAAAGAAGTTATTTCTTGTTGATCTCGGATTAGGTGAGTGAAGAGTTTCTTGGTAGCTGGGCAACACCTCATGCCTTGCATTTTGTTTTATTTTATGATTTCCTTTTTCTTTCTATGCATTTGCATTTAGATTTTTGCAGACGACTTTACTTTTGCTTTTAATTATCCTTTTATTACCTTATTTTAGATTCCTTTTGTAACCTTTTTTAGCCACAAGATGGAAAGATGCTAGCAGTGGTCATCATGTTGAGTATGACCAACGCCCAGATGTGTTCAGGTATTCTAATTTTGCACATTATACAATTTCCAATAATGAACTTGATGCCTGTTTTGGACTATTCTGGTCATCATTATTAATACCAGCAGTTTATATTCTGTAGAGGAACTGTTCGATATGCAAGTGTTCATGCACATCTAGGAAGAACTGCAAGCAGGAGAGATGATCTGGAATCTCTTGCATATACACTAATTTTTCTTCATCGAGGCAGATTACCATGGCAAGGATACCAGGTCATTGAGTGCAAGGCACAAAATTTTCCAAATGTCTGATTGGCTATCTATGGTTATGTTGATCTTTGTTTTCTTTGTATGTCTGTGCATCACAGGGTGACAATAAGTCATTCTTAGTTTGCAAGAAAAAGATGGCAACGTCCCCAGAGATGCTATGTTGCATCTGTCCTCCACCATTTAAGCAATTTCTTGAGATTGTGGTTAACATGAAATTTGATGAGGAACCTAACTACTCTAAGCTTATTTCTTTGTTTGATGGGTTGATTGGACCAAATCCAGCAGTTAGGCCAATCAACACTGATGGTGCTCAAAAGGTCTTTGTTATACCTGTATAATTTGATTTTTTTATCAAATTCACGAGTTGCAAGCTAATCACGACAGATTATCTATTAGGTTGGTCAAAAACGTGGCAGATTGACTATTGATGAAGAAGACGAAAGCCAACAAAGGAAGAAGATCCGTTTAGGAGTGCCTGCCACCCAGTGGATTTCTGTATATAATGCTAGGCTTCCAATGAAACAAAGGTAGATTTTCATTGATTCTAGTTTGCTTACTGTTGTTTTCAGGCCAAGGTAAATTCAGCTCTCCACACTGTGTTGAGCTTCATGATACTGTTGTAAAGTTTGTTGTTTTATTCGTGTTGCCTCTATGATTGACAATTTGACACATGGATGTAGCCATACAAACTAATACATAGTTGGTAAACATTTTGCAATAGTTTTTCATATGCAGATAGCACATTTGATTTTCTTGTTTAGCAAGTGTTGTTCAAATGTCAATAAAATATAGTCAATCCCTATTAATCTTGGATGACCTTTAAAGTTTAGGCTGTAATTTGTTTTTGATTTTCTCTGATGTTGTCCCATTTATGAAAATTTGATGCGGTTCACAAAGGAAAATTAAGTTATTGTGAATGGAACTGTGGATTGTTATGAAAAAGAATTAAGACCTCCAATGTAAAAACCAAGCAATTAAGAAATTGACTTACTAAAAGTAATTTTAGGAGTTACTCTCTTCTAATCAACTTGCACTTATCTATTTGACTTCATCTCATTTTTCGCTTGTTCTCTAACTTATTGATTAACCTCTTATTAGATCTGAGAGCAATTTTGTCTTTGTGCTCTAATTGTGTTGCAAAGAAACTTTAAAGAGTCAGTTTTAGCTAAAAAAATAATGAGATTAAGGCTAGAAGTTAAAACTTTCATGTTTGAAATTTGGTTTTAGGTTGAGGACGCCAGTTTCTGTGGGTTAGATCTTAGAGGTTGACTGTAAAGATTTTGAAATAAGTATTTGTTAGGCTTCTTTAATGTTTATACTGTACTCATGTGATCTGGTTTAATTTAAGGTTATATGGGTTTGAACAGTAAAGGGTTCACCATTTAGAGAATGCTTGTTGGTTATAAAGCAATGGGTATGGATGTTATATACCAATATGGCTAGTACCAATATGTTGATTCGGTGAATCCTGATGCAGTCTATGACAGATATGACAATGACAACTATTTTAAACATATCTATATATGAAAAGCTTGAGATCTTGCTATATTGTTAGGAATTTTTCTTTTTTAGTCAAAAATTTTGACTAGCGCTTTTCTTCATCGAGGGAGAGCAAGATGTCCAAGACACTAATCTAATGTAAAATTAAAGTTCTTTGTTGCTGGACAAACAGAAATCAAATAACCGAGAATATTTTTTGTGGCTAATGGAGCTCATATATATAGGTTGCTGATGCTAAAAACCTGATTACAATAAACAAATACTAAATTAGGATTAAATACCCTTGTAATAAGCTGTTGCCCTCATTCTACCTTCTGGCTGATCCCAGATGTGGATTCTTGAGGTACTGATAGCCCTTAGAGGTTGATGTGATTTGGGAAGGAGCCATGACCCCTTTTCCATCCAAACTAGGGGTCTGCAGTCCCTAGCATGAGGTCTCTTTAGCCCTTCCTCGAATTTCTTGATCTGAACTGGGTCCTATTGGGATTTTTGAAGCAACTCTTCTTAATGTAATTCGGGGTACTTTGGTTGACTTGATGGGGATGATGCAGTAGCCATCCATGCTTGTAGTCAGGTGGTTGAGGGTGGATGTGTAGGTCTGCTGGTCCAGGTTTGGCTTCAGGAGTGATTTGTTAAGTATATAAAATTGATGAAGAACTTCAGCCCATGACAGACAGGGGTTTCCTCGGACATTTTGGGAAAATATAGACGCATGCTGTAAGAAGCTAAAGAGTAGAAGGAAATGGAGTGTCTAGGAGGGAAAGTGAGAAGACAATGGGTTCCTCAAAGGAAGTCTAGGTTATTGGTAGAATTGGCTTTCTTAGGATATTTGCATGGCCAACTGAAATTTTTTCCCACTTCAAAATTATTGTTTCAGACCTCATTAAGTTGCTGTGCTTAGCACGTGCATTTGAGCTACTTTATTTATAGTTTTAGAATATTGAAGATTTAGGTCATGATAGATAGTAACAATTAATAAACTAGCATCCATATCTTATACATCATGAAATTAATTGTTTGTAGTAACATAGTATTTCATTAACATAGAGAAGATTTCAAGAACTTTGATAAATGAACTAAGATCATATGAAATTTCATTAATCCTTATTTAATGCTTAATACAAATGAAAATAAAACAATATGTCTAAACATATATTTTTTTTGTGTAAACTCCAAAGATCCAACATTTGAGAATGACAAAGTTCTCTTGAGAAGTACTGGCAAGTGTCTCCCAAGTCCATTTATTGAAAATGGATACTTGAAGAAGTATCCTAAACATATCTAAGAACTATACTGAAATGTTGTATCCAACATGTAATCAAAGCTATGCCATGTCAATTAAAATTATCCTTGTCTCATGACTCAATGGTTGTTAAGGTTGCAGATTTTGCTCAAGTAGGATGATACTAATTGCTGTAGATAAAAAAAATAAAAAAAATATGGATTTAAGCTGCAAATTCTACTTTGATTGTTAGTAGTTTCAAGTTCCAACTTCTATGATAGAGCACTTAATATTGATAGTCACATACAAGGATGGAAAATGGCTTTCCTCAGTATGGTCTTCTTGGGAATTCATTTTGCGTTTTTTTACCAAAAAATCATGGGTATTTAGATCTTCATTTATTTGTCTTTCATTGGGTTTTTTAAATTTTTTCAGAAGTTTGTACTTTTGGCAATGTATCATAATTTTTTCTGCTTGTGTTGTTTAACAGTGTGCCTTCTTGATGTTGTAACTTGTAATTAGGTACCACTACAATGTGGCGGATGCACGGTTGGCACAACATATAGAGAGGGGAAATGAAGATGGTCTGCTTATTAGTTGTGTTGCATCATGCTCCAATTTGTGGGCCATTATTATGGATGCAGGAACTGGTTTTACATCTCAAGTTTATGAGTTATCGCCATTCTTCCTTCACAAGGTATGATGATATTATAGGCGAACCTCTTGTTATTATTTAAGGTGCCATTATCAATTCAGAGAAGTGATGTAGGAATGGATCATGGAACAATGGGAGAAAAACTACTATATCACCTCTCTTGCTGGTTCCAACAATGGAAGTTCTCTTGTAGTAATGTCAAAAGGTTTGTTTCTTGTGTTGGAAATTTATTATTGTCTTTTACATACTTAAAACTACTCAGCAATCCAAGACTAAACAATTATGCAGAATTCCAGCATATATTGGTTATTCCATAATGTATAGTGTAAACTGAAAATTAATGGTCATATAGAACTTTCAATGACCACTGTGTTTGTGGGCTTGGTAAAGATTTCGGTAGTTAATATTGGTTTTGAAAAGGAAAATAATGAGTCTTCTTATTTTAATTTAATGACCACTGTGTTTTTGGCCATGGTAAGGTTTAGGTTGTTAAAATGGTTTTGAAAAGAAAATAATGAGTCTGCTTACTTTAGTAAGTCTCACAGCCTGTCTTTACAGCTTGGAAGGCTTGAGCTTTATTTTGGTTCACCCCAACATTTCCCCCTTGTTCGACTATTGCTAAGTAGTTTTTGGATATCAAAGGGACCTCCCCAGATGGTAATCTTAATGTGGCCGATTTACCCTCTTTTGCAATCAGTTTCGCTACAGCACCTGCTGCTCTAGCTAATTGTCCACCCTTTCCAAGTGTGATTTCTATGTTATGTATGGCCGTGCCTAAGGGCATATCGGTTGAAGTAGATTCTTTTTTTTATCAATAAAAATCCCTCTCCAATCTGTACAAGCTTCTTCCAAAGCATACGGCTTTCTAGATGTATATGATGATATCTAGACAGATGAATCTTATATTTAGGTAGTTAAAAATTAAAATGATTATGAAACAAAATAATGGGTCTGCTTATTCTAGCAAGCCTTACATTCTGACTCGAGTTTAGAAAACTTTCCCTCCATTAGAAAATTGGATTTCAAATTGGTAAGGTTTGTTAAGGTTAATAAGTCTAAATTGAATTTATCAAGAAAAGACGTTGGTCTCTGCTCAGGCTGAGAAAATTATGCACAAGTTGATATGTAAAATTGTTTATAATTGATTATTAGCCTTTTCCTATAAGCCATTCTTAGATGCAGGATTCGGCAAGTGTATTGCTCAGAAAATAGGAAAACAGCCGAATATGGACAGTGAAGAGATGCTAAAAGAACATACAATAGACAAAGAAGGTTATGAGGTCAGAGGAAAAGCGGAGAGGAGTAATTAGAGAATTGCACAAGTAGAAATGAGAGGGGTGCTGGACAAAGAAGCCTTCATATTTTGTGATCTAATTAAGTATAAAAATTGCCACAAGATTCTGCAGAGGTTTTCGCAATGCTCACCTCCCCCTAACCTAATGGGAAAGAGCATGAACAAAAGTGAGGGTTTGGGGAGAGAGAAGTGGGAGAGAAAAGGAGAAATGAAACACTAAATAAATAAGAAAAAGTTTGTGAAGGGATTTTAATGAATCATTTAGTTATTAGGAGACCACCAGTTGCAGGTGTATCATAAGCATATAAACATATGAGTAGAAAGGTTTTATTTGTTAATATCAATTTGTGGATTTTAATCTTTATTGCTTTTATGATTTTAATGGATGCTATATTTTTTACTGAGAAATTTTGAGGTTGGCAAAGCCACCTATTTTGCAATGCATACCTTGTTTTGGTTGACAATTACATGTGGCATTTATTGCGATGGTGATGAAACTATACTTGGTTGTGTACGATATGCTTATAATTTTGTATACTCTTGATTTTGTAAATGAAACTACTCTACAATTTTCTACTGGGTTATGCGCATTATGATGTTTGTGCTGGAATTCAGGATATTGGAATTGTTGTGGATATTCTGTTATAGGGATGGACATTCATATATTGAACATTCTAAACACAAGCTGAGATCCTTTTGTTGGTCACGATATCCTCTCAAATTGACTACCAACTTGAATAAGACAAAGTGGTCACACAAATTTATGATTCATCATGACGAAGTGATCTTTTAAATATATGATATATCTTGATGTAAAATCTTATTTTTTTTTGCATGAGGTTTTCAACTAAATTTTTTCATTTAGCAAGCAATCAGAACCGATAAAAAAATATAACTAAAATTACAATATTGGTGGTTCATTGTTTTTCCTTTCAGTATTTCACTTACTTTGGGTTTTCTCCAATGCGATCCTTGCCCATATTTCAACATTTTAGGATGTTTATTTTGATCCATGGAGGAGACAACCATGTCTTCCTACTCTTAAAAGCTCTATGTGGTTTAACTAATCTATATTATACAATAGATAAGTTGGTTCGTCTGCCCATGGTAGGTCAGATTGTAGTTTCCTTTATTTTGTACAGCTTGAAAATTTAGCTATATCATGTGACTCTGATCTGCTTATTGTGACTACCTTTGGCTCTGGGTTGGTATACTAGTTTGGAATGTAGCACGTCTTGTAACTTGATTTTTTGGTTTTTTGTTTCATGCTTATACCTTGATATGCTTCAACATTGCATCACTAGAACTCAGCTATCGTTGTAACTGAGACAAATGTTCTTGAATATATTTCGAACTTGCAGCATCAAGAATTGGTAATCCTAGAAGTTTTATGAGTGTCTTCCATGTGGTTCTTGTACAATTTATTTTTTGATTTCTAACTGCATCTCCTGTTCAACTCAGGCACCCAATACACCCAGCAGTCATACAAAGTAAGTGAATCTTTCCCCTTCAAGTGGATAAACAAGAAGTGGAAAGAAGGATTTCATGTCACATCGATGGCAACAGCCGGGAGTCGATGGGGCATTGTCATGTCACGCAATGCTGGTTTTAGTGATCAGGTCTGATGCTTCCTAGTGACCTAATATCCTACTAAATTGTCTGTATAGATTTTATTTGATGGTTGTTAGAATATGATTGAACTGAAGATGCCTTGCTTCTTGTTCCGCTGCTCCACTGCTTTTGCAGGTTGTTGAATTGGACTTCCTGTATCCAAGTGAGGGCATCCACAGGCGTTGGGACAGTGGATATCGGATTACATCTATGGGTGCCACTTGGGATCAGGCTGCTCTTATTCTTAGTGTGCCCAAGCGGAAGCCCGGTGATGAGACTCAGGAGACCCTTCGGACATCAGCATTCCCGAGTGCCCATGTCAAGGTACATGAATGAATTCTTTATTGGCTCTTTTCCAACGAGACATGTCATGAGCACTAAGTTTAACCCCCATATTATTCGTATTTTGTGGATGGTGCTCTTGCTTGAACTTTTAGTTCAACCTGTTTCTTATCTTTTGATTTTGATGTGCAGGACAAATGGGCAAAGAATCTGTACCTGGCTTCGATTTGCTATGGGCGCACCGTATCGTGATACTTGATTCAGCTAACCTACATCCTAAATGTCCGGGAGCAACATTTTTCCCTGCCTTGTAGGCGATGTTATAAATTTAGTTTGTACATCAATCAAAATTGTTTGGATCGTAGCAGTCTGTGTAGGCTGTTTCACTGTATTTATTTCCCTTTTTTTAATTGTAAATGTGTTTGCCTGGGCTCCCCCTTTCCCTTTCCCTTTCCTTTCCCCTTTCTACACGCATGCGCTTGCTGCAAGTCCATGAGAAAATTTTCTTGCAGACTCTGATGAAGTACGAACACTGGTGGCCTGCCTCTGCCACCATAGCGACCGAAGAGTTAACCAGAAAAAGCTTGAGACGGGCATGCTGATTTGCTGAGAGGTCTAGTGGTCTCTACGACAATTTAGAGGTGAGCCGACGTGACAAAGTCGTGGGAAGAGGACGATCCTGGGCATCATCAGGGTGGTGGGCCGCCGTTTCCTTTACCATCAGTTAGTTGCATTTCTATCTTTTATTTACGGTCCGTGTATTTTTAGTTGGCTCGAAAGTAGTATCTATTGGCATAAGAAAGAAAACCATCAAGGTAAGTATTTATTACTGTGGGTGCCGTGTTTAGACCATATTCGCCGGAAGAACTTATCTGGAGGCCCTTCTTTCCCCTCTTTGTAACAGGAAAGCCTTCGGAGGTACACTCATTGAAGGAAATGGGAAAAGCAGGTAGAGGGTCGAAGAGATGTAGTTGCTTCTGGATCAGGGATTTGAGGCCTAAACATTCTTCTGGCTAATGGCGGCATTTTGCTTTTTGTTACTTTCCGACCACCCTGGATGAGAACAAGTACAAAGAGAGAACCGCAGTAGCGTACGTACGGTAAGTTCATCGCAAGACCTGTGTGGCTTCATACACCCCCAAAATCTCCACCACACCACATTAAAGGCCGAAAAAAGTCGTTGATCCTGAAACTAACATCAAGAATGCATTGCGGCCAATCATGCATCTCAAGGTTGGCTGCTGGGCAGCTTGACGAGAATAGAGTGCTCCGGCTTGTGGTCGCACTCGAAATCGAGATGCACGAATGCCCGTTCAACCTCTGGAAGCTCCTCGATCTTTATTTGCAGGGATTCTCCGATCGCGTGAGCTTCTTTCAAAGGCAGGTCTTCCGGGAGTTCGATGTCGACCTGTACAACAAAAGAGCCACATCATACACAGCAGAACTACTAAATGAAGTAATATGCTGCAGTTCACGTATGTCTCAAAGCCACTATGATGTTGCAAGCGCTCATCGGGTAACTTTTCCTAGTGTCTGTTCTTGCTGCACGATATCGCATTCATTAACCTTTGTTCAACTGATTTCAATTGCAAACAAGTAGCTTTTCTTTCTGGGAAAAAGAAAAGAAAAGAAAGGTAGACTACATTTTCCTTGAATTCAAGTATCCTAATAAATAAACAAATTTGAAAAATTTTCCTACATATTATAGTATTCAGTTGGTAATTCAGTCAAGTATTCTTCTATCATGACTGTATTACATCATAAAGTATATATGATGTGTAATTGATAAATGTATCTGCTTCTCATCACATTCGAACACTACCTCTAGTGTTCTTACAGTTTTTAATATGTCTTTAATCTGCAAAGGCAAATCATAAGTGTATACCTTGCAAAAACAAAAAAGCTGCTAGTGAGAAAGCTAAATTTAGTTAAACTAAAGTTTAGCCTCCAATACTCATCCACAAAGTTCTCTTGAGCTTTGTTTAGGTAAAAAATAAAGCATCCACAGAATTACTAGCATTAAGAAAATGAAATAAAGAAAGGAATCCATTGTCAATCAAAAGCTTGCAGGTCAGAATGGAGGTTGCTAAGTTAAAAAACTGAATAAACAGAGATCTTGTTGATGCTTCAATGATGCCATTAAAGAGTGTTAAGTTGTCAAAAATGATACTGCACAATGACTTAATCATCTTAGTGCATCATTAATCAAATATAATGAATCCAAAAAATTCATGCATAGTGAGTTTGACATTAAAAAATTATGCTTACAATTGTGGTTCTAATATAAAAGCTCTATCCACTATTTACTATAGGGAAAAAAAATGCACCAATTAACTGACCTCCACAAAGTAAAGAACACCAAACGTATAAGCACGGACTGTATCAACACGTTTAATTTGAGGATGATGCCTTAATACAAGGTAAGTTAACTTCTGCAGCATCTCCGGTGGAGCTGACTGACCGACCAAAGAGACTGCCCATAGAGCCAAAAAAAAGATACAGAAAATAAGTTAGTCAAAGATAAACAATGTGTGAGAGGTGGTTGTAAAAGACATGAAAAATAGGAAGAAGAAAATGTCAGGTCAAAAGACCAGATGATTACTCGGCCACCTAAAAGTTTTAATCTAACGATTATACAACCAACAGCTGCACAACATGTTCTGGATCCTGCTTATAGCAGTTATATTTCTCTTGGTAATGCTATTTAGTTTGGCTGATCATACTGCAGTACCTTATTTTGCTTGACATGGATAAACAGAACCAGATAATTACTAATTACAAATTGATAAAGAAAATGCAAGGCTTCACCACTGTAGACATGCTAGCTTGCATGTTTTGACCAACATTGCCGATGACATTTTTCTTTTTTTCTCTTCTTTTCAGCAGATTAATGAGCACATCCAACCTTCAAAAAGTACTCTCTAGCGGTCAAGTATTCCAGGTCTGAATTTCAGAAGACCTCTGCTCTTCTTCTTGTATCACCAGTTTGGTAGATAGGTTTATAGCAGAAGGTTAGACTAAGCTGCCAGATAGAATTTACCAGTTTTCTCCTTTTCTTTAAAAAAAGTAACATTATAATGTTTATCTTCCCTTTTCTGGAAAGGAAAGATATATCTTAAAAAAATGAGACATTATAATGTTTAAAAAAGTGACATTATAATGACCTGATATATCTTTCCTTTTATGGATAAAAAAAGTGACATTATAATGTGTTTTTGTGTTTTCTGCTATGATGGTGTCTTTTTCCTATTCTGTGTGATGATTCATGATCCTATGATATATTTTCATTACAATCTCTATATAAACATTTGAACAAATTGTTGAGATAACAATAGCCTCAATTTAAATGTTATCACTTCTCAAATCCAATATCCTTCAGCATTGACTAAATGGTAGAAGAATGTTAAAATAGAACTGCCAGAGATGACAACATATGGCATTTAAAGCAACTCCTGCTGATACTTCACATTCACCGAGAACCATTACATGACTGTTCTCAGCATAAAATATCTGAAATCCTATCAGAACACTCAAAATTAAGGTTAAGAAAGGCAAACCTGCATTCTCCCAGACAGTTCCTGACCAATTTGAAATTGTATAGATTGCAAGTATAATAGCGCCAGCAGGATCAATCCACCAGTAGAATTTATCACCAAGAATTGCAGCAGCCAGGCCAAGCAAGTTGGTAACAACATCAAAATAATGATCCTGGATGTCACTGAGCCTTTGAAATCAGCATGACAATTCATTTCAAGAAATCAAATGCAAATCCATAAATCATAAACTCAAGAAAATCAGTAGCAAAACCTTAGCATAGGCACGAACGATCTTGTTTCCTGAGGTTCTGCAGTAGAGCCACAGAGCTAGCTTTACAAAAGTGGCAGTCAACATGATCGAATATAGCCACACCAGTTGTAATGAAGTCATCTTGTCAGCAGACTTGTTTACCAACAAGTGTTCAAGAGCTTGAACCAGAACCTGAAATCCTGATGGAGACAACAAAGCTAATGTAGCATTCTGATAGCATAAATGCAGATAACAACAGAGCATCCTCAGAAAAACAATATATGCAGTTACAAGGTTTCAAACACCGGTCAGACTGGTACTTACCAACTGGTATTTATCGGTCTGAGAATGAACTAGTATTGGACCGTATACGTTGGTACCCTTTAGGATTTAGGTTTTTTTTGTTATTTTTCCGATGATCCATACTGGTTTGATTGTTTACTGAAATCAGTTTGCAACCAAGATTTAAACCTTTGGATAATAGTATAACATTTTCCTTGTGTATAAAGTTTTTCAGTGGCACTATAAAGTATTTCCATGTCCAGAATCCAAATATTTTGTATAAGATAGTAAGTCTGATTATTCTACGCAGAACATTTTGACATTTAGTAAGCAAGAATTTAAGCGAATTTGAGCAATTGCAGATACCTGCAACTAGCAACCCCTTCATGATAACTTACTTTGATGATTGTCAACTTTGAAAAGATATATCGCCTACAAATCGCAAAATGAAATGATGCATAGATTGTAATATACATGGAGTATATGGGTGTTGCTAAATCACATACAGTCACAAACTTAGCTAGTTTTGCCTAAGTCGTGTGACACTTTTGCTTGTCCATCTACAAAGGGTCAACCTCCCCCAAAACCTCTTATGATCCTTTAAGGACCTACAAAAGGGAAGACAGACTAGAGGAAGCATTTAACACGAGATCTTACAAATAGATATTTTAGCAAATACTTGATAGATAATGCAAATTAGAAACATATACTTCGCAAGCTTCGAACGATGGCACGACAAAGGGTCCAAGGTGGTTCACTGTAGCCAAAAGTCACTATAAGTGCCCATATGATACTGCTGCGAAATAAGATAGTGAACTAGCCCTAGACAGTAAGGTCTTCAATTTTGAATAATACTGTCCGGTACGAGCATTACATACTGGTCCGTCAGTAGACCGGTACACGGACCGCCCGTTATCGGGCGATATATATATATACATATATATATATGTAT